CATAGGGCAGGTGCGTACGTTCCGCCTTCGGGCGAGGCCCTGCATCGTTCCTCTCCCGCCTGGAGGCGCCTTCGCCCACTACTGGCTCGGCCGCTCTTCCTCCGTTTTCTGCGCCGGTACCTACCCTCCACGGAGCGATGTTGACCTTGATCCCGAGTGTCCCGCCGCCTTGCGCAGCATGCGCCGCTTGTGCTTTCGCACCGGTGGCCGAGGAGCTTGAGTGGGGTTCTTCTTCGAGCACGGTGGAAATCCCCTGTACACCGTTCTTCTTTATATGCGACTTTGCAATTTCATTTTGTGATAGCGTGAAAGATATTCCATTGCCTCGAGATACTACATGCGGTACGTTAGTCCGACCCGCGGAATTCTGTGACGCACCACTAAATGAAATTGTGTCCTTTGCCGACGCGCGTTTGTCGCTTATGCCGCCGGCTCGTCTTTTACCTCTTCGATCTTGGACGTGGAGGCTTCCCCTTCTTCATCTTTCAATACCTGCTGGTACATGGCGCGAATTTGGGCGCGAGAGAACTTGGGTTGGTGTTTGACGAGCCAGGTACTTTCGTCCTTCGGGCACTTGTTGTCTTGCTTCCGATGACCCTTGTGACCGCAGCGGAAGCATCTTCCTTCCTTGCGCAGTCGGTCGATCTCCATTGGTTGTCCTTGCCCTCCGTACGTGGTTCCTGTTCCCGTCTTCTTGTCACCCTGGGAGTTCCCGGAACTTCCGGCTTTTCCCGTTCCCTTGTTCTGTTGACCCTGCGTTCCAGGGTTTCTGCCTCCGTCTTCTGCTAATCCCACGCGGTAGTTATAGTCCATTTGTTCTATCCGGAATTTCCATTCGGCATACGTGCGTGGTAGCGCAGTTCCTGTGGCGTGTATCGCGGTTTTTACGTTTTTCCGGATGGCAGGCTTGAGGATCTCGATCATGTATTCCTCATTGCGCCGCTTGCCGGATTCCTTGGCCAATCGTTCGAAGTCTCGGAAGAAGTCTTTTGCCGATTTGTACGTGTTTTGTCGAAGGCGTTTGAACTCTTGTAGCTTAAGTTCTACTTCGGCGTCTGTTCGGAATTGGTCTTCTACCTCTTGTCGGAATACGTGCCATGCCGGGTATCGTAAGTGCCCGCAGGTCTCGTCTTTGTATTGGTCCCGTGCATGGTTCCACCAATGTAAGGCTTTGTCGGCGAATCGGAATGTACAGAATACTACCCGATTGGGGTTTTGCCCATGCGTATTCATTGTGAACTGCTGTGGGAAAACGTTGAAGTAATCCTCACATTGGTTCATGAATCGGTCTACGTCGCTGGACTCCCCTTTGAACTTCTCGGGGGGTTCTGCCAGTTGTGGTTTCACCTGTCCCCATGGGTTCGTGTTTGCTACCCCGACTATAAAGGGCGGCGGGGTGTTGGGAGGTTGTACAGGGTCGGCGGGAATGGGGATGGCGGCTGGGCGTGGTAGCGATCGTAAAGCGGGGTTGTGATGTGGGGACAAGGGTCCTTGAGGGGCAGGGACTGCAGGGACTGCTGCGGCTGCGGCTGCACCCGCGCTTCCTGGGGTTCCTGCGGCAGCAAATAGCCGACTAGGGTCGACGTACCCTGTTCTTTGAAGAATTGATAGGTGTCTTAGGTCCACCGTGCTTCCACTTTCAGTGGAGGAGGCGGGTACCTGATATCGTTCTCCGGGGTCCGTGTAATCGTCCGGGTGTACTTGGTTCCATAGGAACATTCGTGTGGAACACGGTTTCTCGGTAGATCACCTGGGCCCTGATCTGCGAGGTTTTCTCCTTTTGGAAGTACCTTCCTTGCGGCGAACTGTTCCACGACAGTTCCCGTGGTAACTTCCTTTCAATCCATCGTAGCATTTCTAAATAAGTCATATTTTCCAACTCTGCCTCAGTAGGCTCCCGAGCTAGATCCTTCCACGAATTCTGGGATGACGTCCTCTTCTCCGTACTCTCCGACCCTATGCTGCTGCTGTAGATCGAAGTCCGCCCTATTCCAGGGTTCTCGTAGATTTCGCCTTCTTCTAAGTCCGATAGGTCGGACTCGCTCGAAAGGCTCTGTGCTTCCTGTGACGATTCGGTTCCAGTTGCGAATGATTCTTGCCCACTCGTTGACCCTGAGTATGACCTGATCGAAGTCCGGTCTTCGGGGTCTATCCCATACCCATGGGGCAACGAACGGGACGGGGGCTGCGTGGGGGTGTTCTGGTGCGAGGGGATAGATGGCGTATGGGACGACGGAGGCAGGGGCTTCGATTCCTTCGTACATGAGCCAGGCGTCGGCGTAGTCCTGTACTTGTCGGCATACATCGCAGCTGGCGTCGGCGTCGTAGGTGGGTTCGCATCTGTCAAGCTCGGTAGTTGCCTCCCCGGCCCGATCGTTGATGATGATTGGGGTGTTCGGGCGGGTGATGAGGTTGAGGTAACTGCCTTCGTCGTCTGATGAGTCATCACGGGCGTAGTAGTAGCCCCATGTTTCTCCTCTCGAGTTGAGACGGGGAGGAGACCAGTTGTTGCGTGGCCCTGGGAGCTCGTCGCTGCTACTGTCTTCCTCTTCATCGCGGCTTTCTTCATTTGAACTGCTTCCAGTTCCATCTTCAGCCTCTCCTCTTTCTCCCAGATGATATCTAAGCCCTCTTTGATAGAGGCGCTGTCCATCTGAATCGTATCCAGGGTTGGTGGCTGAGTTTTCGGTTGATGTTGGGGAGGGGGCGTTCCAGGGATCACTTCCCGTGCTTTCCCTTTCGCTCTCTTCCTCGGTAATGGGAGAGAGAACACGCTGGTCCACCCCTTGCTCGTAGATTCCTCGCTCTTCTTCTTCTTCAACGACTGGGCCTCTTTGTGCGGGCCATCCTTCCATCTCGGTGTCGGACTCACTGGACTCGGAGTCTTCTGTGATCCACTCGTCGTCTGTGATGAAGATGAAATGGATAAGGGGTTCGGGTCGGTTGTCGACGTATTCGGGAGGGGGTGTGTGCGGTCGTCGAGCCTCCGGGTTGGGGGCTTCGACGGGGATAGTTTCTTCGGAGACTGGCTTCTGGTTTCGTCGGTGCTCGTATCCATATAGGAATGCGAGGTAGGCTATGGCTATAAAGCCTTGAAGTCCAAAGAGGTCGGTGAGGTACTGTTCGATAGGGTTCATTCGTTACTGTTCGTCAACGTGGTCGTTGATGAAGAGTAAGAAAGTCTCGAACTAATTGTTAGCGACCGATTACACAAACAAGATCAAACAACTAAGCGTGACTCGCACTTCGGTCAGGCGCTTTATGTTGCTCGCAGGTCTGCGTGCAGGGAGCTATCGCTTAGCGAATCGAGAGTGAGTTCAGACTAGGTTATCGGGTGAATAAACTTTAGTTCGAGACTGAGGTTTAAGACCTACAGTCGAGCTACTTAAATACAGTTTGGGTCGTGCTAAATATACTACAAGTGTCTGTAACGGTGCGTTAAACACACGAAACCCACATTGTGAATGCGATCAAGTCCGGACAATTAGCATAGCAGGATTACGATGAAGGCGATAAGATAAGATAAAGCGTGAAATCGTAATATCACCCTTATGGGTTGACTTTGGTAACTTAATTCACTTCAGTCGAGGATATGCAATAAAACCAGTGATTGATTAGGTAGCTATACAGGCTACTAGCACAAACACGGGGGAATGCTTTCCTGCCATTATGCGTCTAGTTGCTGCTAATTTATACGATTCGTGTTCTAGGTATAGGAGCCCATATCTACAGTAATTATAGTACGAGCTTTGGAATTAATACAAATGGTGAGTCACTATCCTACAAGTATCGCGCCATTCTGTAGTTTCTATTCAGTTCGACACGACTGCGCCAGGTTATTCTGTCGCTGAGGAGTGCCCTACTAGTCTGTGGGTGCTCCTTCTTCCATCTGCAAGGCTTGCCACGCACCGTATGTATGGAATACTGTGGTATGCACAGGATCTTGAGGATGTAACCACCGATCGTGATCGACTGTAGGTCTGAGATTATATTCTGTTGATCACTGCACGATCAAGGTCAGTCATCTCAGTACCCAACGTGGCTATTCATTCTTCCAAGGTTATTCCTGTCCTAGCCTGAGTTGATCTCAAAAGCTGATCTGTTTCTCGACTTAGCAATTTTTCTTGACTGGTTCTTTTTACTCATCGAGGTGACAAGGCATCTAGTTCATTCCATTCTTCAACTTCTTGGTTTTTATACTCCATACAGACGAGTCCCTGAGATTTGACTGTAATAGTCTTGTTTAGGTAGGGCTTAGCTTGGCGTGTTGATGGCTGGTAGAATTGACTCTTTGAGACATCGTTTTTAAGTCTGTTCTGTACTGCCGTGCTTTCATTCTTTATGTAGTATTTAGCTACCAGCGTGAAGCCTCCACTGTAGCTCTCTGTACTGCTTGTAGATTGCATAAACTGATGTAAAATTGCAAAATCTAGGGGTAGCCTGATACCAGGCGTATCACCGCTGCATCCACAATGTTCTCGCAGCCTCTGAGCTCCATGTCCACACAAGATATGTCACGAGTGCAACCAACCCTGCCGATGGACCCTCTAGAGGAATATATCCTTCCTGGTCTCTCCTCCTTCCACCAATCCCTATCCCAGAAGAATTGCTCCTCTTTATCATCGACTATGACATTCCAATTACTCTCTCAGAATCTCTCTGAGGCAGACCAATGATTCTGCCTAAGCAGAGCCAATCCTGCCTCTATTCCTCTCATCCTCAACCAGACTTCGACTGGCTCCCATCTCACATTTCCAATCACTACTGATTGTTCAATATCATCCTCATGTTTCACCAATGACATCCCCAACTGTTTCAATACAACTTCTCACCCTCGCCAATACTCTACATCATTGATACCTCAGCCATCAGAATTTCGTCCACACTGCTTAGCGAAAGAACACTTGATTAAATGGTGACCATAGTCTTCCCGAACAGATGCTCCACATCTCTCTGAACAGGACCTCACTCGTGTTTTCCATGTCCTATCTTTCTCTTAGGCCGATAAGACTTTGGAAACCTATAGATCTGAACTTCTTCTCTACCACGTTTTCTGCAATGCAAGAAACATACCAGAACATGCACGTTGTCCAGCCAGCCCAGATATCATCTCGAGTTTCCTCGCAACAATTGTCATGAATTCACCCCTATTTTTTGCCTTATCTTATCTTATCAGATCTTATCACACCAACTTGTCATTTGACTCTCATCATCATTTCTCGTACCTGACCTGTATCATTCATGACTCGCTCGGTCACATGCCCACACCGCATTACCGGACCACATCACTGACTCTGTCATGGGCTCCACTACCAAACATCGTAGAAGGCAGCACCATCGGTACATACTAGTAAATATCACAATGTATTTAAACGAGCCTCGCTGTAGTCTTACACCCCAGCTTTGGCTAAAGTTATACACTTCTAACTTTTCACACAGAAACTCCCTGTTTTGCGCCTAAGAACTATCGTTCCTGACCTAGCAATTGCAACACCCTTCATCACACTGAATCACCGAATGCGAGTGACAGTTTGAAGGTAAAACATTGTACAATCCAAGTTAGTGCGTTACAATTAGCCGAAGCTTGACTTCACTATACCCTTGCCGCCTAAACAACGGTTACACTGTTGTTAAACTCTACCCATTGTTACACGGCGGTGACCGTATAAACCCATACCCCAGAGAGCACTGACCCTCACTACCCCATCAGTGAGCGAGTAACGGGCTCTACCTCAACTGCCCTTGTCGTTTTCATTAACTAAACAACCACAGTAATCTGGAGCATTCAAAGAAGGAACTCTTGTCGTTATACGACGAGTCTTTGAGGTTGCTCACCCCTGTAGAAATATTTTATACACTCATTGTTGTTCAACGATGGTGACTGTATGAATCCTATAGATTCTATCACCAGCTGTACCCCCATCCTGGAAACTTTATTATCCCTAGTAAAGCACCCCTTGTACTGCAGCACTCGATCCCATCCACGACCACGGAATGGACCAACTCCCATTCGCCCCATCACAGGAGACGACCACCGAGCTCAACTCAATGAGTCAGAGCATGACCTCCAGACCCAATACCCTGGAGATCCACAACTTGCAGTTGGATACTGGAGAGATACTAAGGGATCCTGGGATGATCCCAATACCTCCCTCACCTCCAACGTCCAGCAGTTCTACACCAATGAGTACAACTGACTCATCAGTGTACGAACTCTGGAAGAGGGCGATGGAAACACCGCTAATGGAACAGAGTGGCAAAGAACCACCTTCAAAGGGATCGACAACCCTTTTCTCCCTACCTGGGGAGTCGATCGAGAAGGTGGACGAACCACAGTCAGAAGAACCAATGCAGGAGGACATCGAAGAGATGAATCTCCAGAGTCATTTGGAAAGGCCGGACAAAGGCTCCACACCTCAGAGCTTGGCAAGGGAATCTACTCCCCCACCGGAACTTCAAGAGAGGCATGGGGAGTCCACACTGGTTCCCCCTGTGAGACAGGGGTCATCTGGCTCAAATCCGAAGTTGCCTTAAAGAGATCCACTCGCCTCTGTCGCTGGATACATCGGCTGTACCATCAAGTTGCTATCTCTATTGCATGTGAAGTCTGCAACCTGGCCAGGAAAGAAAGAGGAGTGGCCAAGGAAAAAGGGATACTGGATAGGGGATCACTCGTTCCAGTGGATTCCTGGATCACCCCCGAAGAAGGATCCTGGGACCTACTGCCCATGTCCTCCGACTCAACCGCCGATGACACCTGGCACTCCATCACCGGGGACAGCTGGAAATCCTCTTGGCCAGACACCTCGTATGAGGCCATATGGCCCAATCCAATGGCCAGAATGGCCATCGATTGAACTATGGGACTCGCTTTCAACCCCTATCCTCATTGGGGAAGAATACTGAACAGTCTCAGTGGAAGAAGAAGAAGGCAGCGAAACTCCCGCCAACACCTCTAGCGAGGACGAAGCCATCCATGTCTTTGGCGTTGAATTTCAGCACTGAAGACATCTTCAATACGAAGAAACCTGGGGGAGACTGGACCAAACCACACCTGCCATCTGAGGTGTTTTGGACCATGTCTCTAGACCCCGAACTGAGAGAGAGTGTCCTCTCTCTCTCAAGATATAGGGGTGCATCACACCCTAAGGAAAAGGATGAAGGAATGAATATGGAACGCCTCAAGAAAGAGAAACAATGTTTCAGGTGTGGACACACTGGACATCAGCAGAAGGATTGCAAATGTGATCACGAAGGGAGCGGTTCACCAAAAACTCTGAACAGAGGAGGACCCACTTCGCACGGTGCCAACAAATGGGATTCGCGGAAGGACAATGCCTTTGCTGTGGATTCCCCAGACATGTTAGACAGGACACAAATGTCCGTCCGACAGATCCAAGTGATGCTCTGCTTGAAAAAGTAGAGCAAACCCCTCCTCAACTATCGTCGTGGAGGAAAAGGCATTGACAAAGGACTAGGCAGTCTGCCTAGGTCAACCAGAACCAGTACTGTTTCAATAACAAAGAAGAAGGAGTCGATGACAGACTAGGCAAATTCGCCCTTGTACACCAGGACTCAAATTTTTTTCAAGGTAAACATCTACTCAATAAATTTGTACTGAAATTATGTATGTAGGTACTCCTACGGACAACTTTTGTCATATGAATATGGGCAATAAATCCCTTTTGCTGCGGTTACACAGGGAAGGAGAAAACCTTTAAAAACAATATCATCCATGATCCCAGAGTTTAAAGGCACTCTAACATTCGGATTGCTCGTCTGAATAAAAAGACTCATGAAGTGTAGGAGTAATGCTCAAACTCTACAAACCCCTGTTCAACAGTAACCGACACTCTGCTCGTGACTGTTAAACAGGTGGTAATGAGGAAAGGCGACTCACCCATGATGTCTTTATAACAAGGACAAACTCCACCAGAGGAAAACTCAAATCAAGGTTCACCAAGGTGGAGGAACCTGTCGAAGTGTAGGAGTAATGTCTTGGACCCACCACCTCTCCAGGCTTAGGGGAAGACAACTCATCTGCAGGAACCTTTATTGTGATCTATGACTATGGATGAACCCTCACACCGCTGTGCTGCTACAGACACATTGTGCATCCAAAGTGGCAAACCCGAAGAGCCATAGGCTCTATATCACTATCAACACGCTGTGCATCGATAGTAATGAATCAACAAGAGGAATAGGGGATAGCCCCTCGGCCAAAAAGACCAAAAATCTCCAGGACCTAACCAGCTCAGGATATAATCCTGAACGACTAGGATCTGACCTGATAACTGTCTGATGGAAGGAAAGTCTCAATCGACCTACCAAGATGAAGGAATGTGCTGAAGCATAGGAGCAACATCTCAAGAAGATGACTCTCTCACACAAACCCTCATCGTGAGACATATGAGATGAACCCTCAAGGACAGGATGGCCCCAGGATGTGAAAACTGGGTGGCCCATCAGGAATTAGTAGATCAATTGATCAGCAAGATCAATGATCAGGGCCCTGATCAAAGGATCGAGGGCTCAGGAAACCCATCCATGCGAGTTGGAATTCACCAAGAATGGACTGGAAATTCCAGCCAGCCTACCAAGGTGGAGAGACCGACCTCTACCCTAGGAAGCACTGGATTGCCAGGGAAGAGCCAATCAACCTTAAAAAGGGTTGATGGCTGGGACTAGGACCAAACCAATCCCAAAAGGAAACCCATCCATGCGAGTTGGAATTCACTAAGACAAACTGGTATCGGAGAAGGAACCCATCCATGCTGGTAGGCTAGCCCAAGTGAAGAAACTAATGAAGCGTAGGAGCACTGACTCAACGTCATCCACCATAATGTCAAAAAGAGGCAACTCCCCCATTGGATCTTCACAGCAAAAGCATACCAGACGAATGGAGCTGATTAATCTGTGATCAAAGGATCAATGATCAGGACCACAATCAATGGATCAGATCAAGGGCCCAAAAATAGGACAACCATCTTCTAACGAGTCATGCTTCTTAAGAAGCTGACTGTGGCGTATCCAGTGGAGTATGAGAGTGAAGTCACATACAACGGGGCCCCTCTTATATACTAACATAGCCAATCCGGAAGTAGAAGCAACGACCAACCTTGGATCCAACTCCCAGGTGACCAGAAGACGACGACAAGAAGTACTGAAAAATGAACACCAACTTGCCACCAAGTTGGTGCTCATTTTCTGAGACTCTTCACTGGGAATGAGTAGCCTTAACGGCTAAAATCCCAGAGAAGCCGTCCCAAGGGACGGTGATGCCTAGACACAGAGGGAAACTTTGGGATGCAACCGAGAGACCCCTTTGTCTAAGAAGAAGCCGGGGACAGTGGACATAGTATGGAAAAAGCAGGTAGCTGAAGACCCTCAGGAATCCCTCCCACCTTGAGCTGCCAATTCAAGGGTACGACCCAGGGTGCAGAGCTCTGGGGCGAGGCAACTGTGTGCCACTCTACCTGCCTAGTACCGTCAGGATCAAGACAACATTGTGTCAGGGCATGATGCCGCAAGAGGAGGTTGCAAGGCATGGTGACAAGCATCCCCCGACCAGTCAGGACTGAAGGAACTCAATCACCCACAAGGATCAAGCAGGCCGAACAGGGAAGAGAGGCTCCCTCTCCCATAACTTCCAACCAGTTATGGAAAGGGTACATATCCCCCTTGAAGAAATCACTAACAAGGAGGACACGTACAGTTACTGACAGAGTTTATGGGACTCTAAAAAACCCGGACTGTGCGGGCCATCCCCAAGTAGAAAAGACCTTAGTAGTGCAAGCGAACAGGCAGGAAGCTAAGTAACTGCAGAAGACCAAAGGGCCACAAATCCTGCAGCGAACAGCAACAGGGGAAAGTCCCTGATGCTGAAAGAGGGAAACCTCGAGTACTCATCGGAGGAGTACCCTTTGGACCAGCGACACCAAGAATCCTATACACCCATGTGGACATGAAGGGCCATGCACCTCAGATCAGAGGCCGCAAAACCCACTTATAAATGGATACACCTTTGACAGGCAGGAAAGCTAGGCGATTAATGCACAGCCTAAACAACCTACCGATGAAGGGAATCCACCACAATCCTATCCTGACCAATTGACAGTGGACCCGCAAAATGTGAAAATCAGAACTCACGTATGAAGTGGTCTATACCCCGCTGTCACCAATTAGCATGGATAGTACTCAAGAAAGAGGGAGTTATTGGCCATAATAACTATCTTGAATGGATCATACCACTGCTGAATAGGTGCAGTACCAAAGGATTTGAGATTGTGATCAGACATCCCAATCTTCTGCATTCCAAACCCCCCCATGATGGAGAGACTGACCTCCACCATGGGGTCCATGTTACTAATCAGCGACAAGTTCACAGATAATCATGCCCATGACACCACCTTCTACTCTTATAAGAGAGGGGATGGTGAGGGCACCATTACGGATGATAAATCCCTTTCGTTCAAAAATACAGGGAAGGAAGAAAACCTTTAAAAATCAATTGATATTGCCCACATAGCTTGCCCTGTTGAGATGCAATGACAGGCATGACCATAACTTATAGAAGGAGAAGATGATCAATACCACCCACACAAGAGTTGGAGTGGTATGCGACCAACAAGTTGACACTGTCGACAGACGATAAATCCCTTTCATCACAATCAACAGGAGAAGGATAAAACCTTCGCAAAAAATCACTAAAACAGAGTTGTTGGACCCTGTATACACAGGTACTGCCAACCCCTTTTGCTGAGAGATACGAGGCTACGGAAGCCATACAACTGAACATCAAAATGGGAACATTCTCGGGAACCTGGAACGAAGCCCCAATATAATATGGGCAACAACCCAGAGTCTGACGATGCCCATTACTCCCCTCACCATAGCCATGTCTCTATGGCATTTGAAATGCTGAAAGACATAGGCTATTACAAGAAGTATACCTGGGAATTATATGCCATAATAATTGCCTAGGAGAACAACAGAGCCATTACTCAAGCTAGCATTCGAGCAACACCTAGGATTGAACAGGAGGAGTCTCTGAGAAGTAAATCCTCAGGGAGCTGGTTCTCCCCTTGAGGACTTCTTCAACAAACTATGTCTCTATTCAAGACTAGCAATGCTCAAAGAATGATTGTGATAAATACCCACAACAGTAACCGACACTTTGCTCGTGACTGTTAACCACCTAAACCAGAGTTATTGGACCCTGCCTGTACAGGTACCACTGCCAATCCCTTTTGCCAGGACATGCGAGGCTATGGAAGCCACACAACCAATATACCAGAAATCTATCGAGATTTTGACTAGAGGAGTGAACCTCGAAAAATCAACGAGAACCACCTCATTCATTAAAAAGATCGTTGACTGAGAACAGTCAATATTACTAATCAGCAACAAATTCGCAGATAGTCGTGCTCACGGCACCACCTTCTACCCTTATAAGGGAGAGGATGGTGAGGACACCAACAAGAAAATTTATCTCCAAGAAATCACCTCACTTAACCCAGCGATTGCGAGAGTCTCCAGTATCGAAGCCACCCAACAAGTGTGACTGATACTGATATGAGATAAGCCTTGTTCAATCCAAGTTAAGGATCGATGATCTAAGGCCACGAATTACCTCCTGAGAACTACCTCATCAAAGATCGCTAGCTGAGAACAGCCCAAAAGGCCAGGCCAGGACGTCACCCCTGGATGGGATAGAACCAACTGATCTTGATCTAAAGATCAAGGATCAGGGCCACGATCAATACTGATGCAAAGGCTAAAAAGGAGAATAACCTCCTATATCAAAGATCGCTGCATAAGAACATGCAAACAGTACTAATCAGTGGTGTTGCTTTCAATAGTGAAACCACAGATTACTTCGCAGAAGCAAAGGCTTCTCAAATCCATATCTACCCCAACTATCCACCACAGATCTGGACTAAAGACATGAGACTGAAATCAAACAAGAAGGCAGAATCCTTGTAATCGACGTCAAGAAGACATGCCCAGGACTACCAGCCTAGTTGCCAGAATGAAGAACCAAAGACGAACAAGGAAGCAGAATCCTTGTAATCGGCTTTGAATAAACATTTCGCACACAAGGCATGGATACCAAATATCAGGAATAAGGTTGGAACAAGGATGCCAATACCCTACAGACTACCGAGACACCCTCAGTAGCGACCCTCATGGAATTCTTCCATGAAACACTCATCAAAACGAGCTCTTAACATCATGCTTGCCATCCCAAACGACGAAGAAGGAGTTCCACCTGAAAGTGGACTCTAACAAAAGCGCAAAGAGTGCCACAAGCAGGGATCGAGACCACCCATCATGGTATGATGGGTGCCTCCATCGCCACCATATCAAGACAGAACACCAAACTATGGTTTGAAAAGTTCTATGAAAATCCTGAACCAAGAATCATCGGGAAACAGAACCATCGGTTGGAAGACGATCATGATTTGCAACACTTGAAGCAGCAGAGGAATAATGCCATATCATCTCCTGGCTCTTCAAGGATTGAAAACCCGACAAGTCATTTCACCGAATGGCTACAAAGGTTTATTTACTGCCCAAAAAAGTTGGCAGTAACTTTAGCAGAAGGACTTCATGAAACCCACCAACCGGCAGCAGGCTCTGTCCAACAGGAAACCTATAACATTCTGACCAAACATCGACAGCCAAGTTGCAACTAAGGTGACATGGTTAGACACCAACTCATGTTCAACAAGCTGGACTCTTTGAGGTCCTCACAAAAGAAACAGCTAGAAGCATATGAACAGCGGTTATTGGTGGAATGGAGAAATCCACAATTCGATTCAATAAGTCCATCTGAACTTATTGAAGAAGTGGAAGGACCCAACGGGGTGCCTTCAAAGCCATTAAACGACAAAAGACGTTCTTGGCATCCAGAGTAACGAAGGAATTCACCTCCAAGAGATCACCTCACTTAACCAAGTGATTATAAGAGTCTCCAATATTGAAGTCACTCAACGAGTGTGACTGATACTGATATGAGACAAGCCTTGTTCAAATCCAGGTTAAGGATTGATGATCTAAGGTTATGAATTGCCTTCTGAAAGCTACTGCTATGCCTTCAGTAGCCATGCTGGTGGAAACACTCCATCAAACCCATGAACAGGCAAAACTCGCCCTAATCAGGGCAACAGAAACAATGAGATGACCGTATGGAAGAATACGAGATAAAAGAGATTCTACAGGATAGACAAACTGCCATATGACAAGGGAACAAAAACAGAAAGGAAATCTGATAGAAGAGGCTACTTGGATACCACACAGCCAACTGGCTAATGCAGGAGAACTTGTTCTGGAGTGAGAACAACGTCTAGCGGTGCTATGCCAAGAAAGCCCCTCTATGGAAGAAGAAGACAACTCATCCGTGACAACTTCACGAACTGAGAACTCAACTTTCTTCCCGAATTCCCTGGGTCCAGCTTGTAGCACAGCTGCATCCAAACATTCAACACCCCCTCTATCGAGCACTGAATGGAAAGGCAAATCTGACACTGACTCAGTCGGGATGACCGAGTCTTAGTCAGGGGGTAATGTCATGAATTCACCCCTATTTTTTGCCTTATCTTATCTTATCAGATCTTATCGCACCAACTTGTCATTTGACTCTCGTCATCATTCCTCGTACCTGACCTGTATCATTCATGACTCGCTTGGTCACATGCCCACACCGCATTACCGGACCACATCACTGACTCTGTCATGGGCTCCACTACCAAACATCGTAGAAGGCAGCACCATACGGATGCTGTTCTTCTTACTTGCAGGAGTGCTTCTCATGTGGTCATGCTCACACTGCATCACTGGAGCATTGCCACAACACAACCATCAGTCTCATCTGATAGGTCCCTGAACATACCTCTCACACGCATGATCTGTTTGATGGCCCATAGGTCCGATCACACTCTATGGGCCTGACCCTCCTTCACCCAATCACACTTCTTTAGGTCGACTCCGATCACATCCTAGGATGGACAAGCCACCATGTATGCTCCTCAGAAGATCGCACTCTATGGATGCTAGTCTTCTTACTCACAGGAGGGCTTCTCCTATATCAAGCACCATATGATGCAGAGAACATAGAAGACAGCGCTGCATTGGGACAGCACACACTGAAACACAGGAGCAGTACATACTAGTAAATACCACAATGTATTTAAACGAGCCTTGCTGTGGTCTTACACCCCAGCTTTGGCTAAAGTTATACACTTCTAACTTTTCACACAGAAACTCCCTGTTTCGTGCCTAAGAACTATCATTTCTGACCTAGCGATTGCAACACCCTTCATCACACTGAATCACTGAACGTGAGTGACAGTTTGAAGGTAAAACGTTGTACAATCCAAGTTAGTGTGTTACAACAATAGCTGGCAACTATGCAGATGGTACTCTAAAAAATTACCTGCATGGTCTTTGAGCATAGCACATCCTCCACGGTTTGCCTTGGAAGATCAATGAAGCAGAAACTTCTATGCTAATAACTGCAGCATTTCATTTGCAGCCTCCCCATTCTAAAAAGAAACCATGTCTCCCATACACAGCAGACACCATCAAATGTTTGCTACATCATCTCAATCTTTCCCTGCCTCTTGATGCTGCAGTTGCTGCATGTTTGATGACAACTTTTTACATCACTGCATGATTGAGAGAGTTCACCTTGACCAATCTGGGGTGCTTCAACCCCAGCATCCATTGTAAATGATCCAATGTTTGAAAGGTACCCCTATGTGATCTGATACCTTTTAATACAGCTTATTTACAAAACTACGTCTAGGTCTGTGACCGCAACAATCTCGAACAAACAGTTTTCTTCATTCCCAAAACTAAAACCAGTGCCAATGGCGAAGACGTCTTCTGGGCGATCCAAAGTGGTCTGACTGATTCTGACCACCTCCTTCAGAATCATTTCTTTGTAAATAATCCGCCTTTGGACCAACCTCTGTTCAGTTACATCCACAAAGGAAAGCTATGACCACTGACCAAGTCCGCTTTCCTCGCTCGCTTGCACAAGGCCTTCAAGCAAGCTAAAATCAACCCTTTACAAGGTCATGGCATTCGCATCAGATCAACCTTGGAGTATCTCCTTTGTGGCACCCCATTTGACATCATAAAAACCATAGGACGCTGGAAAACTGATGCTTTTCTACTCTACCTTCGAAAACACACTTAAATCTTAGCACCTTACATGCAATCAATGCCTGCCATTCATGACCGATTTATCCGATACACCATGCCTCCCATTTGCTAGTTCAAATTCATACTATTTTGATCTTGTATCATTTCTCATTCTTCTCTCCTGTTTCCTTGGGAATCCGTGTTTCGGATGCATTCGTTCAGACTCCCTGGTTTCATGGGGAATCTGAATGCAAAAAATCCCTGCAGATCACGTGTTGAATCAGAGAGCACAGCTTTCACCTATACTGCTAGTCTATTATACACACAAATCTACGACAAGTACACAAATAGATGTTCTAAGAATATATGAGGCATGAGTAAAGTCTTAGAACAGGTTTGCATACGAGACAGTGACTGAGTAACATAATGATTTTCTTCTGTTACCTTATCTCACTTCAATGCCTCAAAGATTTGAAGTGCAGACTGAATGACTGAATGCTCGATAAGCTTAGTTTTTGCTACCCACCCACCCACTCTACACCTCGATACCACTATTGACACTACTGTTTGACATACTTGAGTACAGGGGAATCTGAATGCAAAAAATCCCTGCAGATCACACATTGAACTGGAGAGCACAGCTTTCACCCATACTGCTAGTCTATTATACACACAAATCTACGACAAGTCATGATAAGTCCAATGAGATTTTCAGGCAAAGAGAACATATGCATGAGGGAGCCTGGTTGATATGTGAGACAATGGGATGAGGACACAGTCAACAAGGATAAATTGAATGATGATACATGTAGAACAGAGAAAGCCTAAACAAATGAATACAAGAAATGGATAAGAGATGTGTAGAACATGGATGTCTGTGCAGAGCATGCATTCTTTTTAGCCAGAGCAGATGTCTTGCTGACCAGTACAAGAAACGGATGTGAACCTAGATGCACAGTAAATGATAGGTACAAAGAGTGACTGTAGAATCATGCACTGTCTATGATAGATGCTTCATTTACTGCAGCATTGTGATGAGCCTCTGCAAGATGCATGGAATGCAAAAACTTCTGGGAATCAAACTGTGGCATGCCGGATGAGCAAGAGAGCCAAAATAAAACACAAGAAAATACATTACAGCAGTGTCCATCAATGGTCCTACAGAACAAAATAAATGGTAAGACCTTGGTCAGTTTCCATGGTGAAACAGAAATAGTTGATAAGCTATAGCAAGGATATTGGCTAAAGTTAACAGTCATGACAAGAGAGAATGAATGACAAACAGATAGTGAGAGCAAGGAACAGGAAGGATAACAAGAGGCTAGTATGGAAACAGATACTCCAAAGATGTAAAATGAGCAACATGGCCATAAATGACAATCCTCCAGGACTGCAACCTCCTGGAGTGCAGAGCAATGCAATCAAATTAAGAAGGACGTGATCTATCACACCATTGCAACTCTTGTCAAACTCTCAATATAAAGATAGACAAATATACTATCTCACAGTTTCAGAACATGAATACACTTGATTTAAATATACAAACAATATCACTGTATGTACACAACACCAAATGGCATGATGTCCATGGATATGCAAGGATCTGCATATAGACTTTCCATCAGAAAAGCAAAATGAGATGCATCCTCAAGGCAGATCTCATCCACATCATGTAGCACTACATCCATCTGGAAAGTCCCATCCAGAGCAATATGCCTAGGTTGACACTGCCAGCTAACACATGCATCAGATGCTGCAAGGTTATGAGGTGCCCACTGCCAGCATTGTCGGAGGCATACAAAAGTTAAATGCCAAAATGAGAAGACAAGGTGGATTTCATGGAGGCCACCTAAGATTCGGCTGTCATCATAGCATAACCCCATAACCTTGGCACAGCTCTGATAACCAGTCACCTGAGCATATGCAAGCTATCAATCCTGAGGTGGAAGGTGGCCTCTGGATGTGTAGTAAGTTTGTCAGCTGAATAAGAGTATGATTAGTGCCACACAATAAAAAGAAAAAACAAAGAAACAATGCTCACAAAAGTGAACTGAGAGATCCACCAAAGTATGACATATCTGATGCATCATATCAGAAGCAAAGGGAAAGAAATCATTGCTGATGGCAAGATCAAGTGAGGTGAGAAGATCACAACACAAATAGATAGGGAATAACTTGTCCCAATGCAAAAATTGGCTGATGAGCCCAGTGGAAGAGTCAGACATGAATATTTGTTGTATGAAGGCCTCAATGTCCAAACTGCTCATGACAGTAAAAGGATTTCCAATGTGAATGTGTCTACCACAAGGTGTGAACAACAGGTTGAACATTAAGTGATACAAGGATGGCTCTGGCGCATTACAGAGTTCAGTCTTTAAATGTGAACTGAACCCTGACAAGCCTTGCCACAAAGTGACAGTCAGATCATACCCTGGGTCCTCAACATCAGAAGGTATGAACTAGTGGGGGGAATCAGCATATTAATGAAGCAGAGAGGGAAACAAACAAATAATCCCAGCATTCCCAACATCAATAATATTCAAAGAGGACAACTTGGTGCCAGCATGCAACAATCCCTCTATGCTTTGATGCAGAAGACTGCACCAGTGAATAGTGAGATGAAGGACAGGAGGAGGAAGAAGATATGGATAGGGTATATCCATGACAATCCAGATTGTGCACATGTCACATTCAAATATCACAGTGGTAACAGATGGCAAGAAATGTAAAAAAAAAACAGCAAGGATCTAGGTTCCAATTGAGGAAACAGATGGCAGTCACTAACATCAGCATATTGTGTCACAAAAGGAAGATGCAAAGTGCCAACTCAGACTGCAACACAGATAGAGAAGAGCTACTCCCTATTGGACAGCTGCCAATCCATCAGCAGATGAAGTTGGATTCGTCTATGAGAGTATCTGACAGCCAGCACACTCCATAGCCAGCAGACAAATCAGATAATCAACAAAGAAGGTTGATTGAGGTAAGAAAAAATAGTATTTCAGATATCTGCAGGAATTGAATATCTGGATTATACCAAACAGCCTGACAATACAGAGGGGGAACTGATGTCAGGTTCACCTTCTAGAGGGGATGGAAAACACTCCATGACAGATTCAAAATGGAACAACAGGTTAGCATATACTGGGTTGTCGAAGCTCTCCCCAGTGTTAACAACATTGTCATGGTAGATATAATATGGATGAGTCTCTGGATGTGAAGACATCAGTATACTATAGCCAAAAACCATGAGGAATGGTCAGAGATGCACCTTCTACAACAGAGCACAACAACTCTTCCTGTCCAGTGATGGCAGCGTGATTTTCCCAAGATTGAGCAAGACCATCCATACTCTGAAAAGGTGAATGATAGTATGAGTAAGGTACAGCATAGCAAAAGAAGTGAGGGACTCACCAGGTTGTCCACTTTGACAATGTGTATCATGATGCAGGGAGACACAACTCAAACAAGTGATGAATAGCAGTTAACAACAATAGAGGAATATTGGCAAAGTGAAACACAAAATAAGGATGATAGAGAGCGAGATCATAAGTAAACTATGCAACCAATGGTGTAACAAGCAAATAGAGAATAAATGATGTGAATGAGGATAAGGCTATCCCGATATATCAGGAAAAAGCTAAAAGAATCCAAAAGCAGAAACACATGACTAAAACTCAAAGAGCAATCAAACCAGCTCATTGGTCAGATGAATGGAATGAGGAATGTCACTGATGACACATATAATGGTAAGACACAACTGTATCAATGGACAAGGTCTAACCTGACAATGTAGATTCCAGAGTTGAAGGACAACAGTTGGTTTATAGTGACTCATACAAACAAGGTGTCTGTGAGCAAAAGTTTTGTTTGACAATCAAATGTGTTTGCTCAGCGATGATGAACCTAAACTTCTGTTGCAACAGCAAAAACCAAAACTCTAGAGGGGTTCATAGCAAATAGCATGTAGCAGCAATAAAGGCTTCATTGTTGTGCGAGTGTTTCAGTGCACCTCTGTGAGATGAGTTCCTCAAGAATGCAAGTATACACTGTGACTTTTCAGTTAGCAAAGTAGTATCCTTAACAAATAAGCACTAGAAAGCATTGGCTGTAAGCCAGAAAGGGTCTTGATGTATGAGAAGGAATGGAATCCAGTATAACTGGGAATACCAGCAAACTGTGAATGAAGTGGTGGCAATTGACTAATAAATGCCATGGGTGATGTTGGCAGAATTAGAGAAAATGCCGTCAAAGAGAAATACCATTGGCAAGATAACAAATACTGTGATGGCAAAAGACAAAGACTGTAGTCAAGAAACTGGTGGTAAAACAAAGAGAGACTGGCTGGCAGAAATATGAAGAGGAAGCTAGTGGCAGCAAAACCATGACTGATACTGGGTGAGGCTGAGACTAAAACTGGGCTAAGGTTAACTGCAGTAAAATGAAACTGATCCTGATCCTGAGTCTACATGGAGACTATCCTATACTGAAACTGACAGCAAGATAACAAATACCAAGACTGGTGATCCTATACTGAAGCTGAAATTCCATGACAGACACTGCTGGCAGCAATGACAATCTTAATCTGGGTCCACACAGGGATGTAACTGTACTGAGCTGAGCTGGGGTAAAACAATGGTGATGTAGAAAGTGAAAGCTAGTAAAATGATGCTGGCTGGTGAAAGTGAAATGATGCTGATGGAATAAAAGATAAAAGTGAGTTGTGGACATAAAATTTCATGTATTAGTGCAATATGAGCATACACCAATACCGTTAGAAGAAAAGCCATGACAGAGAGTATAACTTGGAGTGACTATGTTGTTATTGTCTGTCTCCTAGTGTGTACAAGAGATAATGATCATAGCAACCTAGTTACTTGTCATTGATAACCTCTGTCTGATAACTACTATTTTCCATGGTGTATACTAGCTTTTATACTATGAGTCCAAAATAAATTTAGAATACTTGAAGCGAGTCCTTAGTAAGTCCATAGTACATAGATTGGTAAGAAATGATATAAAACACATGTTCCCAAGATTCTAAAGTAACAGCACTCATATGGTTTTACCGCATATAGATGAAGTGATTAGCAAGAATGCCACCAATCTCTGGAATTTTGAGCTGCTGTGTTGCTGCCACAAAGTACATTGAAGCAAGTGTACTAAAGTAGATGCTTGTGGCAATCTCTTGATGGTATAACAGCTTTATTAAAGACTGAGAAAAGGTCACAACAGTAGAGCTAATGCCATGGAATTGCTATTTGAGCTGCAGAATTGTGGCTGTACTAGGCAATCAGATGGGATTCTAAATCCATGAGATCAACAATCAGGTGTCTGGCAGAATTAATGAAAGGGGCATGTAATTGATATGGGGTACAAGTGGGGAAGGATAAGTGGCAGCATTAAGCAATATTGCTGGGATTGAAATAGTAGGTTTGTGTGGTGGCTGGAGAATTAAATATCTGGTAAAATCTATGAATTCTGAGCGTATAGAGCTTAGAGGCTCATCAGCGATATAATCAGAAGAGAAGAAGATGAGGTTAGTCCAACCAATATAACTAGCCAGCACACCAACTCACATGAATCAGTATGGGGTGAAACTGATTAGCTGGATCATGGGAGCAGATTCCTGAGGAATCACAATCTACATAGACTTTGAGTGCACAATAAGTGACACATACTACAGTTTAACACAAAAGTTCATATGTTTGCAACAGACACTATACACACCATAGGAAGACAAGCCAGAAGGTATGATACCATTCAGATTGAACAAGCTACAAGATGTTGTTCTACAGATGGCTGCAAACCATCCAGTGATTATCAACTTGGAACTCCACAGAATGCAGAAAGTGTGCATGAACCATGACATATGTATATGTGCCATGAAGTGCAATATTGAACTAACATGACTAAGACAGTTCTATATTGTCAGGGTGACCAAAATTCATGTTGTACCAGAGTAGAGTAGCATACACATTCAGCTGTACAGATGGTGTATTCAATGAAAAAATATATGTATATATGGCCAGAATTTTGAGCTTGTATGTGAAGCAAACTCTGATGTAATATTTGACTGCAAGGCTTATGAAGATATATGGAGAAAGCTGCACTGATATAAGAAGGACCTAAAACAAAAAAGAAAAGAAAAAACATAACAAATGCAGAGAAAAACAGCAAATAAGTTCAACAGGACAAGTCAAAAAAAATTGGAAGAAAATAAAGCTTATACAAGATAGCTTGCAATTTGTCACTCAAAGATGCATCAAAAGTCACAAGTGTCATTATCAGAGCACTAGATAAAGATAAAACAATAGAAGCAAATAATATAGACACTGCAATCAAAATAAAGTTCAAGATAGTGAGAGTAAAAGCTATACATAAGTACATACAACAAATAATGCAAGCTAAGAGTAACTATGCAAACACATTTCAGAGGCAAACAGTATAGGCAACAGAAGTAGATGGGGTATAAAAGATAGGACAAAAAGTTCTCATCAGATGAGATTATGAGCTGCCAACACCTCACGAGAGGGTGTAGAGCCCAAAATGATAACAAAGAGGATGTTTGTCCCAACACGTGGTTAACCATTAAAACAAATCAGCAGGTCTGAAAAGGAAGTGAGATCCTGAATGCTGACAACCATCATAGATCAGAACTAAGACCTTGTGTAGCATGACAAAATCATGAAGAATGAGCAATGTACTGTTGTCCCTAAAGCCCATGAAGCTGGGATAGCCTGAACCAGTGTGAGAGGGAGTTGTCTTCAATGGTTTGCCAAAAGCTTTACTCAAACCCTTCCATTTAGAAGGACTAGAAGGGGCAGAAGGATCTGTAGAACAGGTAAGAGAAGAACATGATAAATCTATCACATGCACATCTTGAATTTTTATTGGTTTTACTGGAGAGATCCTCTATATGAGTGGAAAAGAAGACACCCATATCAGACACACATGTGGACTCGTCATATGTGAGGTCAAGAGTAATAGCTCAAACAGTCTGATCTCAGCACCAGAACTGTTTAAAAGGCTTGATCTGTATGCAATAGATATGCTTGCCACTGTAAATACCTGTATGATCTTGATACCTGCCTGCAAGCAGAATTGATTTAGCAAATTAAAATGAAAAAACATGTAAAAAACATGTACCTTGCACAGCAGAGTTGAAGAGGAGGCATTTAGTCACTATCCCAGGCATAATGCACATGGCTGTATCCAAACTAATACAAGCCCTCCAGTTGTTAAGCAACAAGATTATAGGAGGGATCCTTGCAGGGTTCACATAACAACCATACTGCATAAAATTAAAACACTCTAAGAGTGACCTAAAATGTTACAGGTAATCTTCAATGAATAAATCATAGTGAACAATATAAAGACTGATGTGAGTGAGCTGATCATGAAAATGTCGAAGATGCGCCAGCTGCATCCGGCAATCCGGCAATCGGACTATAGTTGAAGCCACACGAGAATCTTCGCGTCTCTTCTCCTCAAGTCGTTTATTCGTCTGCTCACTCAGCAATGAGTCAGACATGGACACTGGTAGGTAGTAGTATGTTCTGGAAGTACTTACCTTGTAGTATATATACCGGGGATCTCAGTCCCCAATACATATTGCTTTAACAACTTCCTAACACAATCTCTCTCAAACGGTCGAGTCTCTCAGTTTACCACTGCGTTTATCACCTTCATTACATCCTATTCTACAACAGGTTATGGGCCCCGGTCCTAACTAAACTACAGAAGACTCACCATAATCAATTACCTCACCAAATTACAATCCATCCCCATACATCATGTCTGACACCACACCCTCATCATTATTCCACATCGAGCTACTCCAGGAGCATAACTGGGTTCCATGGAAGCGTCGCGTCACTGCGATCCTGCGAGAACGAGCCCTGTTGAAGTATGCTGATGGGACATCAAAGAAACCGATTCCGGCAGATGTCAAAGCACCGACAGCCGAAGAATCAGAGAAGATCACGAAGTGGGAAGAGGGAGATGGACGAGCGCAGACCCAAATCGAGCTCACATTGAGCGACTCGCAGATGATACACATCGCAGGAGCAAAGACATCGGCTGAGATGTGGACGCAGCTTAAACTAGTAAAGGAAGCTAGAGGAAAATTAGGAATACTAGCGCACTGCCGCCGACTTTACTGCACCATTGCCGATGAGTCAACAGACATTGTTGAACATACCACAGAGATGTGCCGGATCCAGGAAGAGCTTGGCATGTTGGGGAGTATCGTCACCGATGAAGACTTCCTGATGCTGCTCGTATCGTCACTACCAGAATCCTGGGACCAGTTTACATCAGCATACCTTGGATCAACTGGAAACAACCCCACCGTCACATCGCACGAGTTCATAGCCATCATCCTTGAGGAAAACCGTCAACGTAAAGAGAAATCTGGTGGAGGCGAATCTGCCATGTATGGACATAGCGGGAGGACAGGTAGCAGGAGCGGACATAACCACTCATCATCAGGAAAGAGTCCCGATGACATTGAGTGCTATAATTGTCACAAGAGAGGCCACACCGTGGCCCAGTGTTGGTCAAAGGGTGGTGGTCAGGAAGGAAAGGGACCGGGCAGGAGCAATAAAGGACGTAAGAAGAAGGAACGAGCTAATCAGGCAAAGGAGTCAGGAGATGTCAAGGATGACGTAGCGGAAGCAGCATACCAGGCAGAAACACCCCAATTTGATCCACATTTCTCACGTTACAGCTGGCTTGCAGACTCTGGAACCACATCCCACATATCCAAACCGACGCGAAACCTTCTCTGACTTCAAACCACTCGAGTCCACATCCATCGCAGGTATCGGAAGTGCATCAGTGCGTGCGCTAGGAAGAGGAACGGTGATGTTAGACTGCAAAGTCAACGGAAAGACCATCACTCACCAGCTCAAGGACACTTTATATGCCCCGAAAGCCATCAACAACCTTATCTCCATCAGTAGACTGGACGATGCTGGAATGGAAGCATCATTCAGTAACGGCAAGGTCCAATTCAAGAAGAAGGATGGGACAGTCATATCAGAAGGGAAGAAGTCACGTTGCCTGTACTTGATGGATGCATGCGCACGCGACGTAGTCTCTGAACAATCTAATATTGCAGCAGACGCCAGCGAGAATACGTGGGATGCATGGCACAAGAAGATGGGACACCTAGGGAAGGCAGGGTTAGAAAGACTTGAGAAGGAAGGACTTGTGGAAGGACTCACTATCGCAAAGGATTCACCACCACTCAGCCAATGTGATGCCTGTATCCAGGCAAAAATGACTCTTCGCCCGTATCCGCAGGAGGCACAGCATCGACGAGATGAGCCAGGAGAATTAGCCCATGGAGACATCTGGGGCCCAGCCCGCATCGAGTCCCTGCAGAAATCAAAGTACAACATCACATTTACCGATGACACCACACGCTGCTGTACACCTGAATTCATGAAACTTCGGTCAGAGGGATTTAAGAAGATCAAGGAATACATTACCTTGGTGGAAACACAGCTAAAGCGAACACCGAAGATACTGCGCGTTGATAATGCAAAGGAGCTAACAAGCGAGGAAGTCAGAGGATGGTTGAAGCAGAAGGGGATTCGCTTACAAATGTCAGCACCATACACACACTCGTCAAACGGAGTAGCAGAGCGGTTCAATCGAACGCTCGTCGAACTTGCCAGGGCCATGTTGATAGGCAGGAACCTGCCATCATTCCTATGGCAGTCAGCCATCGAGTATGCCGCCTACATCTGAAATCGAGCACCAACGCGAGCCCTTGCTGGAAAAACTCCGGAAGAAGCATGGACGGGCACTAAGCCCAGTGTTGCACATCTCTGGGAGTTTG